TCAGCTGGGCCAATGGACTTGAGTGAGACTGCTTGAGTGCTTAAAGTTAAGCACGCGATGAAATGTTTTGTTGGACTGAGGCATATAGGTTTCATCCAAAACCCACTGGAGTCAAAAGGAGTCTTTTCAGTGGCTTCAATCAACTAAGTTTTGAACTGGGTTTGAACTGAGCATCAGGCCTTCCCCCACCTTCCATCTACACAAAAATTGTGCTAATCTGGGCTCAGACTCCTAGACCTAGAGCCATGTGGTGGTAAAGGGGGCCACCCCTGAATCAAATCAGGATCCAGGATTCAAGCCCCATTGCTTTGCAGCGTAGATGCAATTCCACCGGACTCACCCGCCGGGAGTATGCCAAAATATTCCACAATCCAATGAGCTGATGTTCTTTGTCCTCTGGCCAATCAAGTCTGGTAGACAGTCAAGCTTTCCCCACACTGAACCATGAACGCTGATAATCATGCAATGTAGAGGCTGGAGCTCCAGACTGAGATCCAGGGATCAACAATTTCTAGCCTGGTTTTACAAATGAGTGTAGACACACGAGCCCTCAAGTAACAAAATCAGAGTTTACTCACTCGAGTTCTATTAACCCCGGGCTTACATTGCAGTGTAGACCTAACCAATCCATTCTGGCTTAGGCCTTAAGTGAACAAATTGATCTAAAAAGAGCCAAAACTCCTCCGAACAGGCTTTGAGAATTTAACTTGACAGCTGTCATTTACTTGGGACTTCATAATGCCTCAGACTGTGCTAGTACATAGCCTGTAATTTTTTAATAAAAACACTGAAGGCTTACATAATAACAGGCTTCACTGCACCAACCTATTACATCTTTGTTGACAGAGAAAGAATCCTTTGTCTGCAAATGTGCAGATGCGCTTGGCTCTAGGGCATGTTTGAAAGGGAAAGACCCCGTATGAGGATAGAGAATGGTGAACGGATGGAATGCCGGCATGAGATTACTCCTATTCGCCCCTGTAAGACTGAGTGAATGGACAT